TATATATATATATATGTGTGTGTGTGTGTGTGTGTGTCTGTGTGTCTGTGTCTGTGTCTGTGTCTGTGTGTGTGTGTATTCCAAAAGCTGAGTGTCTAATCTAATAACTCCTATTCCTGTGAAATGTCTAAATTAATACCACACATGTACACTAAAATTCTATTTTAATATACCACTATTCAAATATATAACTACAATTTTAAAATTCTGAAACATGAAGATTGAATATCTGCCATCAAGTCAAGTGTAAAGCTTTAGTGACCATATAGATAGATATTTTTCCATGATGATCTGCCCTAATTTGGTCCTTCAGGCCTTCCAATGGTACACCCATCACCACCGTAACTGAGTCCATCTAGCTTGCTGTTGGTTATCTTCTTCTTCTCTTTCCTTCCACCTTTCCCAACATTAGAACCTTAATTAATGAGACACTTTATCAAATCCTTTGTCTATGTTACAAGTCAGTGCCACTTAAAGGCTTCCATGAATATCATCCTATCCTAACCCATTCAATTCCTTCCTATTCCGTTATCATATGTCATATCGTATATACTTCCTAAAATATTTTACCTATCAAGATGTTATTCAACAGCTAATTTTTGGATCCTTCTTTACAAGTACATATTTTACATAAATATCTGGTGCATTCAGAATGGCTGGCATCAAGCGGATCAGCAACATTCTGCAATCATCTGTGAAGAGGTGGCAGTGCCAAAGAACATGGGCGAATGTTTCTAATGATCCATCACCATGAGGTAAGAGTTTTTAACTATGGGAGATCTTGTATCTATCTTATATCTACCTGAAGGGTTGCTGATGGGAGAATATCAAAGTGAAGAAGAGTGAACATTTTCTGAAACTTTGAGAAAGTGAGATATTTAAAATGTTGGGCTGCTTGGGGGACATGTGCCAAGTGACTAGCTACAACACTTGGAGAAATTCTGCATTGAGCTACCTACCTATGCATGTCAATTAGTCTCCATTTCAGGATACCTTTTATGTGATCATATCTCATACCCAAAGACTTCTGAGTGAAAAGACCATGTTGCACCACATTTTGCTGCATCCCAATTTCCTGGGTGCATGAAAGGAATTAACCAGTATCAGTAGGGCCAAGCTTTGAGGTAGGAAAGTCAAGTTTGCAGACATTAAACAAGCTCTTACATTAAATAATCAAGTATGTGAGGGCCTGTCTCCAGGTAGAATACCGCATCTGATATACAGCATTCTCCTTTTAGGCATTTCTTAGATCTGGATTGGATAGACTCAAACTGGGATGGGGTGCTTGTTTCAGCCTTCTGTGGCATATAAGAAGTGAGCCATCCAATCCCCATTTGAATTAACATCCATCCCAAGGTAGTTAAAACAGGCATCCTTGTTCAATTCCTGCCTAACAATTTAGTTCAGAAATTGGGGTGTTTTTGAGAACACCATAAGCTTGGTATGGTTGAAATTCAGTGGTAAGTGTGGATCCAAAAAGAACCTTTTGTGTGTGTGTGTGTTACTGAAAATGGCCAAAGAAACAGATTCAAATAAGATTAACCAAATCACTCTGTTCATTCATTCTATAATTTATATATTAAAATTTGAAGAAATCCAAATATGACAGCCCCACTATTATGCAATACAAAATTTAAAAAGCAAAAGTTCAGCTATTGGGCTTTTCTTTTAAATAATTACTGTGATCTTAATGATGAATTATGGCAAGTCAACATGAACAATACAGTTGGAATTTATGTCTGTAGAAAAGCAAGTTCTAATATTGTTTTTTAAAAGAACATGAAATGTTTTCTTCCATCATATTAAATAATGAATTCATAAGAAGCACAGCTATTGTAGGCATTATTGGTTGCATTAAATGACATGTTTTTATCTCATCAGGCCTGAATTATTCATTTTATGCATCTGGCCAAAAAAGTTATGAACTGAAAAGTAGATTTGGTACAAATTCTTAGAAGCAGGATCCCACCTGGTTGAACCAGCTGTGCCAGGTTATGACATTTTCAATTATGGTGAATATTTGGTCTGAAGAACCTGCAGGGTTAACCCTCCCAACTTTAACTCTCATGAAGGACTGGTTAGAAGAAACAATCCAATTCAATACATCATATCCAGCTAGTAACTCTCCATTGTAGTCAATAGAAACCTGATCCCCGGCACTATTATTAAATGAGAGACCTTTCAAGAGGCGGTGCAACTAGATGGAAAAGAAAAGATAAAAGGTTAGAAGGTGCAGTTCAATTTTGGGGGGAAAATCTAAGAAGAATATGGTGTAGTGGAAATCATGGCTGATCAAAATACAGAAACTTGTGTCCTTTCTAGGGGAGGGAAAGAAGATCAAAATTAATTCCTATCACTGATATTTAATGATAGAGATATAGGGCTCATTTTCATTTATACAGATAATGTTCTTCTTCAAGATGATGTTGAGTCCATTACCTGCCATGCATCTTGATTTTGAAGCTTCAATCTCCCTTTATTTGCCACTGATCTCTGTACAAATCTGGATGAAATCATGGCATGTAATGCATGGGCTACTGCGTAGACAGAATTATAAATACTGTAGCTGTGACCAGTCATCCTCTTTTCAAAAAAGGTTACAGGAAGATTTTCTAGTTTCTCTTCTCCTGTGCAGATATCTCCAGTTACCTCACCTACATTTGAAGTTTTAAATACACAGGCAAAGGACTGCTGCCAGTAGTCCTTGATAAATCCATCTTCTGTCATGGAAGGATTTCTACTTTCAATAAATGATTGGAAACCTGGTGGGTCATTGGCATGAACAGTGAAGGACAGAGCACCATTGATTATTTCAGTATCCCAGTCTCTTTGATATACATGTGAGTTGAGCTCTACCTGTGCTGTAAATATCCACACTTTACCTTTGACCATATTAGTTATGTTTCCTTTTTTTGTTAAATATGGTAACCATCTCAGCCTCACCGTGGTATCAGATTCTCCATAAAATATCAGAACGTTAGCACTGCTATCCATAATTTTGTCATGTATTTGTGCACCATGGTTGAACAAGTCATAAATTTCATTGACTGAAGTTAATTCTGCAATTCTCTCTATAAATGAAAAGCAGATACTGTGCTGGGAAAATATTGGAACAATCATGTCTATAAACCTTTCTCCATTATCATTAGCCATCACAAATACCCCGATCCATGTCCACCTGAAATGGAGAAGCAAAGATAGAATCCCTTCATATTGAAGCTTTTCCTTAGGGTTCATCTGGAAGAAGGAGAGGCCTGGAGTTTTATAATTCATGACTGGACTAGAGCCATAGACGAGCTGAATAAGGATTGAGAGCAAAGGGAGGAGATGGAGAGAGTCACATTTAATTGTTATTTTCAAGTTTTTAAAATCACGTTATCCATTCATGCAGCAAATCAAAAATGATTTGATTTGATATTGCCATCTTCCTTTATTCTTTTTTCTTTGCATTGTGGCATTACTTGTGCTTTTATTGTTTACAATGTGTATGGTTTATATTGTATTTTTTCTACATAAGCTGCCAAGAATAATTTTGATTGTGGTGGTATAGAAATACATTTAATCAATCAATAAAATCATTGTTATGTATTTCTTTTCTGCAGGAGCTGTAAGGGGTGTATACTGCATTTTCTTCCTCATTCACCTTTTCTGTAACCTCTTCTTTATCTAATTTGGCATCCCATCTCTGTTCCTATGAAAATATTTCCATGCCATTCCATGTCAGAATGCATATTTTCAATCACAATAGTATAATACTTTGTTTTATTGGGTTAACATTCTCTAGCTTGTCATTGTCCTTCTTAAAAAAAATAAAATGGAGTAAGAGGGTTTTGACACTGAAGAAGCACACAAGCTACAATGTTATTTAGAAGAATCCCAATTTCTGTCTCTAATGTTCAAAATGAAATCAAGAAGTTCTAAAAAGCTAGGCATGCTCTGAATCGGATGTACTTTACCTGTGGGATCTTATAGATATCCAAGAAATTTGCAATGTCAATGGAAGTTTTGGAGTCGAGTCCCCCAATCACTGCAGTCAGATGATTCTGGCTGCCACAGATGTAGTTGGGAACAAATGTCTTCAGGTTGTAAATCAGTAACATTGTGGCATGGTATGTTTTCTGTGCGCTGAAGTGACTGTCATAGATGTGGAAGCCAAGAGTGACATTGGATAAGATCTGAGGGTTTTTATTGATCTCCTTGACTGTGAATGCCAGGGCCACAATATTTTGGTAATATTTTGGCACCAATCTGCAATGGAAGATAGATTCAATGTCAGATAAATATTTAAAGGATTTTTTTTAAAGAAAAGAAGTACCAATTTTGCATCTCATTATTACAAGCCTCAGAATATTTATTTTTATTAGTATATGTTAGTATATGAAACTAATGCAGTTCTTTGTTGTTAAAGGTTTTCACAGAGCAGTTACTTCATACTCGCCTCCATTGTTACTTCATACAATATAATATATGGAAAACTTAGAAAATGGTATTTTGTACATGTCCACTTATTTATGCAATCTCCCAACTTTACTACAAATCAATGGGTCACACATACTCTTGTATTTTTGTAATCCATTTTATGATTCTATGATGAAAAGTAGTAAATACTACTATAAATCAATAACTGGTATTTACATCAGTTAAAATATAAACCAGTGCCACTGGTCACTGGATTCATCTATGTGATATATCAGCCAAAGGAGAAGAAAATCATGAGAGAGAAGGTATGAGATTTATAGAGAAGAGGATACTTGTTCATGTTGGCCAGATGTGTCCGGATATCACATAAATTTTTTTAATGAAATACTTTTGTATGGTATGTTTATTTCTGATAACTTTCCCTTAATATTCCATGTAATACCTCTCATTAGAAATAAAAATTCTGGTTGAAGAAAAAAAAGGCCTTAATAATTTTTCTGGGCAGCCCTTTAATAGTTGGATATTAATTCAATTATCTTCAAATTACGCTAATAGAACAAGGTCTAAGATCACTTAATCTTCTAAGAAAACATATAAAGCTAAACATAAACTACACACATGAGGTCTTCAAGTAACGGCGGTGGTGGGACTTTGCTGAACCTTATGGTGGTATGCAGGAAAGCTGCTAGAGTAGCTATGCCGCCCACTATGAGGTCACCCGACTGATGGTAGCTATGATGTGGATCACGAGGACTTTGAATTTTACATTTCACTTTATGAGGCTTAGCAATTTGGGGAGAAGATAGTGGTAGCAACAAAATGATGAAAGTAACCATTCTTAGAGGAAAGCCAAACCTTTCTCTGACATCCAGCTTCTTCTTGTTTCTTTGATGAAAGTGAAATTAGTGTTCTGTTGATAAAAACTTCCTTTGAAAAAAGGAAGAACCTACTATTAATCACCCTGGGCAATCCCTATCTGTTTTCAAACTATTTTCCTAACTGAAAATAATTATTTTACTTAATCTTTATATATGTATGTATAACCTTTTCACTTTGTGCTTGGAGACTGAAATTGTGTAGGACTTTGAACCAACATAAACTAACTGGCACCCTTTAAAATAAAGAAGTATGTAATTATCAATAGAAATCCTTGTAGAATTGAAGAAAAAAACATGTTTTGACATACAGTGATGAGAGAGAGATAGGAGAGAGAGAAAGAAAGAAAGAAAGAAAGAAAGAAAGAAAGAAAGAAAGAAAGAAAGAAA